TGAATCAAGTCTGATTTACCGTAACTCTACATGACAGAGTAGACTGCTCCTTTGGGTTCTGAGGCTGTCCGCCTTGACAGAAGCAGCCAGTCTGCCCTTTCTCTCATGTAGAGGTCAGTAGACCCAGCTAGCAACCTTGAAGTTGGCAGCCCGACATTTAACCTACCACCATTTAACCTGCCACCAGGGCTCCAATTTCATGATGGGGGTTGAGAACTGTTGAATTGGCTCTAACAGAACATGCCGCCCATTACAACTGTAGCAGCCCCTGTGTCACTCTGCCTCATTGAGAGTCTTCCTATTTTTCACTGACCCCCTGTTTAACCGAGTATAAGGTTCCTCCTTTCTCTCACATACTTTGAACGTGCTATCAGGAACAGCACCTAATGACATGTCCAAAATATGTGAGAGATAAACTCCTCATCTTCACATCTAAGAAGTATTCTGTCTTCACTTCCTTCAAAACATATTGGATAGTTTTTATGACAGTCCACGGTACTTCCAAAATACTTAGACAAAACCATAATTCAAATACATTAATTGATCTCTAGTGTTCTGTATTTGTTGTACAGCTTTCACCTTCACAGGCTCCCATCTAAAATATAGCTGTTTGGGTCAAGTGCACCTTTGTCCTCAAAATGAAATCTGTGTGCTTTAATACTTTAAAGGGGTCTTTCAGAGGAAGCTTGCAAAGAGAAATGTGTGTTTCTTCCACAGGCATTGATTGTGTGTCCAGTTAAAAGGCTACCCTTAACAAATCCAGCATTTTCCCTGTATATCATGGTGTTGCTTATTGGTACAGTTGTGCAGACTGTTGTTTTCTTTATATAGAGGTGAAATCTATGTTAAGGGCTGTTTTTGATATTCATCATTTGTTGGTAGTTAGGTGCTGTAGAGTTGGTTCCAACTCAGCGTGACCCAATGTACAACAGAACAATACACCGCTGAATACTGTGCTGTGCTCGTAACTGCTGTTCTATTTGAGCCCTTCGAGGCAGCCGCTGGGCAGTCCACCTTATCAAGGGTCTTCCTCTTTTATGCTGACTCTCACTAGACTAAGCATGATGTCCTTCTCCAGGAACCCACCTTTCCTGACAACATTTCCCAAGTACAAAAAGACAAAGTCTCACCTTCTTTGCCTCTAAGGAGTACTCTGGCCTTACTTCTTCCAAGATAGATATCTGTCCTTTTAGCAGTTCATCTTAACTTTCAGTATTCTCCTCCAGCAGCATAATTCAAATGCATTGATTCTTCTTAGGCAGTCCTTATTCAATGTCCGACTTTCACATCAATACCATTACTTGGGTAAAGTGTACCTTAGTTCTCAAAGTAACATCTTTGCCCTTTAGTATTTTAAAGAGGTCTCCTGCAGCAGAGTAACCCAAAGAAATGTATCTTTTGATCTCTTGACTGTTGCTTCCATAAGCATGGATTGTGGATCCAAGCATG